CACGGGGGTCACCGGTGCCCATGTCCAGCAATCACTGTGCGAGGGGCAGGGTACACCCTGGACGGGTCTCCAGTCCATCACAGGGACACATAGAGACAAACGAGACAAACAACCATTCACTTTCTCATGCACAACTAGGGACAATTTTAGAGTTACCAATCAGCCTAACATGCATGTTTTTGGTCTGTGGGAGGAAACCGGAGCACCCGGAGAAAACCCACGCGTGCACGGAGAGAACATGCAAACTCCACCCAGAAAGGCCCCTGGACCGGGGTTTGAACCAAGGACCTGCTCGCTGAGAGGCAGCAGATCTACCAGTTGCGCCACCGTGCTGCTCCGTCTGCCCATATGTGATATAAAAGTAATTAAAAAGCACCAAAATAAACAACAAAAAGATGTAAATATAATCGTAAATATCAAATGTGTATGGCTATCAAATCAGATTGTTAACACAGTGGAATTACAAAAAAAAAGAAAAGGTACAAAGCTCCTATTATAGGGTGTGCACGTAGTATACCAAAACTTACGGTAATCAGTTCAAAGCATTAACACTGTGCACTTGCCCCCTAATACAAATAAAATGTTATACATACCAGCACCAGAGGACCACAACCAACTATTTGAGTCAAACACAAGTTTAACAAAGTTTAATAAAAGTTGTTGATTGAAAGAGGCCGGTCCTGTGGTTTATTTTGATCTGCTTCCATCCTCGCCGCCTGTCGCTGGAATATTTTTCCTGATGTATTCCATCACCTTTATGGAGTTGTAGTGAACTCCGCCTCCAACCAAAACCTGCCTCTGAGGACCTTCATGGGACAGGAACTGTTATTTCATTGATTTGAATCCAAAAACACAAATTAGCTCATCCAGAGACTGTCTAATTGTATCCTGAAGTAATCAATTGACAGAACACTCTTCTTTTATATTATCATTACTATTTTACAATATCTTGATAAATCAAACGTGTGTTTAGTTCATACCATTTCTAAATGTTGAAGTGAACCACTCATTTTAAATCAACTGTGAAACAGTATTAATGATTTTTTTAATGCCCATTTAAATTAGAAATCAAGTTAAGTGTCTAAAAAAGTTAAATCTGGTCCTCTGGACATTCAAAAAAACAAAACAAAGCAAAACAACACA